CCTGTCCCCGAGATGACAAAGCACTCAAGCCTAACCCATTTTATTAATATTTGGAATAAAACCTGAACAAATGATGAATTTTCTGAAAAAAATAAGAGCAAAAATGTCTAGAATATGGTATCCAACTTGAGGGCCAGGATTAATGTGGGTTCCCAATGTATCCTTTTGCCAGCCTTTGATCTCCCTCAGACTATACACCAAATTTCAGTTATGTCATTGCAGAAAATCAACCCTACAGTTTCCTATTATTTTAAGTTGAGCAATGCATGAAAAACTATTCATTGTGAGTACTTATTTTCCAAGTGGATCCTTTGCCTGGCATCCTCCCTTCTAACTATGTGAGATAGATAGGGATCCCAAAGCCCTATCTCACTGACAAAGAAGAAGAAATGGATGAAAATGAAATAAATTCTGTAATACCACCTCCTGGTTCTAGTTGAGGGGTAAGAGTAGTGAAATCACACATTGCCCAAAGCTAAATCAATCTCACAAGTATAAATTGAATCAATATTTATCTAAAAAGTTGGGGAGAGGGATGGAAAAAAGTTAAGGTAAAAATTGGGTTTAGCTTTAAAGAGTGACATGTAAAATATTGAGTGGCAAAAGAAATAAAAAACAGAGAGTTGCTAAAATCACAGATTGTGACTTAAAAGGCTCTCCCATAGAAAAACTGCAATGGATGATATAAGGTCCTCAGCAGGTCATGAGATGGTAGGTCTGCTACTAATATAAAAACAACTATGATGTAAAGAAGTGCCAAGCTACATAAAAAAACAACTAACTGAGCATGTACAGAGAACATAAATATCAGAGGCCATAAAGCATTAACTAGCAGACCCAGAAATCAATTTAACACAGTTCTTATTTTATTTATTTTTCCCTATTCCTCTAGAGAATACTCTAGCCTTAGAACAGATGTTACCTCTCTGCCAATGTGTTACCTGGAAAATCCTGCTTTCTAAAAGTTCCAGCTTAAATTTGAGTCTGAGGGGAAAGTTTAAATCCCACTCTTTCCGGGCTTTCATCCAGCAATTTCTACTTCATTTGAAAAAGAGATTGTTTTTCCCTAACTAGCATAAAGGAGGATTTTGTGTGAGGGGGTGGGGAGTGATCTCTGTGTTACAAATGTTCTAAAGCTAGACATGGAAAAGGTTGTGTATTTCCTTTCTGGGAAGTAGCTGACAACCACAACAGTCCTAATATAAGTCTTAGTGCAGTTTTGTTTTGTTTTTTTAGTCCAGCTCTTCCAAAAATCCTTGTCCCACTCATGTCTATGGTGTAGAAATATCTACTGGGTGTCACTAACTCATTCATTGTAACCACATACCCCACTGGGCTAGCTAAATAGCTAAAATAGCCAGCCTAACAAGCAATAAATGATGAGGATCAGTATTGACCGACATTACTGGGAAATCAGGCAAACTGGTGAGAGTTGTTTCAAGCTAAAAATATTGTCTCATTATCAGGTTCCTATTCACAGACTGCCGGCACAATTAGGATAATCTAGGAATTGTTATTGCAAAGGAGCTTCTTAGTAAAGTATGCAGGATCATAGAATCATAGAGCTAGAACAAGCCATTTGGTTCCTTGACCCCAATCCCCTGCTTTGCCCAGGAATCTAAAATGAAATTATCTTAGTGGAGAGATATCCAGCCTCCATTTCAAACATGCACAACCTGAAATCCTGAAAACCTTGAATGTGGCTCCCACAGATCTCCAGATGTCATTACCAAGTTGTATGTGATAGCCAGAGAAAATGACTTTTTTTAACATGGGGGGTTTGATATGGTTGAATCTTTATCCTTCTCATAAAAGAAGAAAAAATGCACCAAAAGATCATCAGCCACACAAACAAATTACTTAGCTTGGGTCTGAGTATGCATGAAGCTGCTATGTTTATCAGGAATAAACATATATCAAACATCAGCATCGTGGTCCCTTTTAAACATTGGACAGCATGAAGTCATTTTTTCTGGCTCATTCCAGTCTTTTTTGCTTGTACTATTTATCTTTCCAACAGTGTTTAATGACACTGGGAAAACTGCTTTTAGAAATTGGTAAGTGATAAAAGAAGTGTCTAAGGCAAAGTTGTTGGCTTTCAACTTCAGCAGATAGAGTTCAGAAACAGCTGGGTCTGAAGAGAGCTCAAAATTCATGTCCTAGATTATCTTGCTTAAAGGCTTATCTTTATGCCTCCATTCTGCATCTTGGGATGGAACAATAATACCATATCGTAATAACTCAACTGTTCTCAAGGTTCGGGAGAAAAGATTGCAAAATTAGCAATTATGTCTGCATCTTCCTTGATTTTTTTTCTCCCATGTTGGAGTGTTAAAAGATTATTTCTGCCACAGCACTACTACTGCTCTGATTAAAGAAAAAAATGTGTGGTAGGAGTGAAAGTCTAGAGACTTAATTTTTGATCTGTTGCATCATGTGCGGTTTGGCCTTGAGTATTGTAGCAGTAATAATTCATTTCCCTCATTTAGACCAGCTCTGCAGATGAGAAAAAAAAAAGGGTGGGGAGGGGACCAGGAAATTCTGCCTACTCCCAATCCCTTGCTTTTTCTCTAATCTGATTTAAGGAATGGGCCATGAGAACATGAAAGCCTGCATACATTCTAGTTTGCCTTAAGAAAGCAAAGTTGTACCAATTTGTTTGGGCTAAAGGCTACACTTACTCCTTTCGTGCCACGTTAGGGGGACTTCACTTCAAAAAATGGGTGGGGTCAGGATGCAAACTAAATTTTTCACTGGAATAAAAACAATCATAAATTTAAATATAGTTATTAGAACTAATCTCCAATTATGTATTATCTTTTCTATTCCTCTCACATTAAAAATGGCAACTTAGTAATAATTTTAGCTCAGGCACCTAGGGCTTCAGCAAATCTTTGGCTGGGGGGACCATGTATACCAGAATCTGTAAGTTGTACATCTCTGTAATAAAGATATTGCTCATCTATTTTTTCTTCTTCTCCCCATTTTTTTAGTCCCCTTTTTGGGACTATTTTATATTGTATTTTTAACTGATTTTAACTGCTCTGTAAACTGCCCAGTCATTTTTTAATGAGATCGGCAGTGACAAATTTGATAAATAAATAAATAATATACACAAAGGGCTTAGATTTATCTTCTAATACATGATTGGACTTTCATGAGCATATGAATTGTGGCTGGCTGTCTCATATAAATTAAGGGATAGAAAGTAGGTTACAACTTGTTTGTAATGTAACCTGTTCAGATGAAAAAGACAATCTATATTGCAATAATAAGGAAGGACTACTAGATATGGACTCCTGTTTCCTCCCCAGTTCCTGTAAACCCAACAGTTCGAAAACTCACGTGAGTAGATAAATGGGTACTCTCACTCCAGTGGGAGGAAAAATGCTGGCGGCGCCTTGCAAAAAGGAGTCAGGAGCAGCTGCCGGTAAGCGAAAAACCGCACGCGCAGGGCGCGAAGCAACGGAAACCCCGCCTCCTGCGCTCGCCAGCTGGGCTCTGCTCTAGGAAGGAGGCACTGGCAAACCACCTCCAAAAACTGCAAAGGACTCGTCCAAGCAGTCACTGCAAAGTCGGTAATGACTGAGCGCAAATAAAAAAAAAAAAACTAGATATGGGCTGCAAAATCCAGACAACGACTAAGTGACAGCCAACAGCTACAGAATACTCTTAACTCTTTGCTGCCATCTTGAAGACATTTAGATTTTTTCAGCCCTGATTTGACAGCCCTATACTAGGAGGTGAACTTCAGTACACTCTGAGAAAAATGTTTAAGTAAACTGCTTAGAAGGACCACAGTGTAAGAAAATGAGTGGCTTTTATTAGATTGCATCTCTTAGTGGTAAGCTCATGTGGTATTTAATTGATTTTTGGCTTTGCTTTGAAGTAATGACTCATAGGATCGAGCTAGCACATCAGCTTTGATATCTTGTAGTGCTTAACTTCTTTACATAGCAACTTCTCTTCTGTTAGATATTCTGCACAGCTTCTGGGTTAGCCTCAAAATCCTGTTTGCACTTTGTTCTGTAAACTCAACATCCCACATCTCCTTTAAAGGAAGGTTTTTTTAGAAGCCAAAGTGAGATTTGTACCACTGTTTGACTTAACCCAGAAAAATACCTAATCTTCAAGGGTACTGCTTGTGTGCTTTGCCGTGCAAGATGAGTAGAAATTATTTATTTTACCAGATGTTTGGATTTTGTCTAACTAGTATAGATTAGGAAAATCTAAATATTAATGAAATGAAAATATTTCACTGAACCTGACAACATGAGGAAGGAAAGAAAGCAATTACAAGGGGTGAAAATGGAAAGTCTGTTTAAACAATTATCTTTAGAAGTACCACAGACAGATTTTTAGTAATGTGGCGGGGGGGGGGCGGATTTTACCACAATCAGTTTCCCAATCTAGTGCTCTCCTGAAATGTTGGACTTTATCTTCCTGGTACACAGCAGTCTCAATAGTGTCAGCACCTGACTGACCTTCTCTGGGCTTGGAAACTAAGAATTGGGCTTGCTTACCACTTGGATGGGAATACCAGAACTGTAGATTAGAAAGGGAAATCAAAAAATCACCCCAGAAAAAAGCAGTGATAAAACAACTCTTTATTGTTGGCAAGAATGCTACAGTAGTTCAATGTATTGAAAAGGTAGTTTGATGGGGAAATATTCATATTGCTTATTTTGCATAACTTCAATCTATACAACATCTCACTGTCATGAATATATAACAGTCTCTGCTATGAGTCCTGAGGGCAGTGTTCCCAAGGGTGTTTCTCTGATCTATTGGTATATTTGTCCATCAATCTGAAAGTAGATAGTGAGGCAGAGGCTGATGAGGTCCATGATTCTGGGTATTTTGATCTTAGTGTATTTGGCTAGGTTGGGTGTGTTGTGTAATAGTGCAGCTATGGATTCTTTCGCTAGTTCTGGATCTATGGATGTAAAGAGTGCTATGACATCAAATGAAACTGCAATTTCATCTTCTTCTATTTTTAGGTCTTTGATTCTTCTGGAGGCACTGTAGTGGGGAGTTTGCTCGCTCTAGAATATTCACTCCTCTCTGTGAGATGGCCAAGCCTTTTGTAAGTTCTTTGGCTATGTTGTAAGTACATGTACAACAAATCAGAGGAACACCCATGGGATTACCACTCTCAGGACTCATAGCAGTGACTGTAGCACAGGGTCTAGAAACTATAGCACTCCCACACATACAACCAAAAGTATGGATCCAGTATGTAGACAACTCCTTTGTTATAATAAAAAAGGAACAACTAGAGAAGACACATGAAATCAACAATATATTCAAAGCAATAATATTCACAAGGAAAGAAGAAAACTACAACACAATATCCCTCATGGATATCCTCATCAGCAGAGGAAATGACAACAAATTAGTAAAACAACCCACACTAATGAAGTGCTCCATTACCAGCGTAAGGACCCAACCTCCCACAATAGGAGTTGTGTAAGAACATTATCAGATGAGTACAAATGCACTGCAGCAACCCAGAACACCAGAAAAAGAAAACAGACTACCTATACATCTTCCAACAAAATGGATACCCATACAACTTTACCAAAAAGTGCCTTACCACTCAAACCACCACAGCACAACCAACACAAGCTATGAAAAGGATAACACCACCATACTTCAAAAACATCTCAGAAACTGTTACAGCAACACAGCATCACCATAGCACACAAACCAACTGAAGCCCTCCCAAACATCTTATGTAAACCAAAAGACCCAGTAGCCCAAAAAGAAAAAACAGGAGTCATCTACAACATACAGTGTAAGAACTGTAACAGCCACTATGTTGGCAGACAGGCAGAAGACTAGCAGAGCACATTTGTGAACACCAACTAGCAGTCAGAAGACACAATGAAAACTCCTTAATCTCACAACACATGTACAGACTCAACCATCAATAAACACACAGAAATAAACCACGTTTACACCCCATTCAAAAGAGACAATAAAAAAAAGATAAGAAGGAAACAAAAAGACCAGAACACATCATCCCCAGCAACCACCACCCAGATAAGCAGGGATTAACACCAGACAAACAATCAAGCAGAAAAACAATACCCTAATCAAGGAACTATCAAGGAGAAAACCACACCTCTACCAATGCTGGCAGGGCAAACTACTGTATATAAACAGAGAGCAAATCCCACACTCACTAGCGCTGATAGTGTTACCTAGTCAGGTAAAGAAACGTCTGCAAGCAAACAACCAAGCTCAGAGAGCACCAAGGACTACACACACACAGACGCACAGACATCTCCTAGCACAAATCTGGAACTATGCTTAAAATTGCATTGAACTGGGCTTAGATATAAATTGCAATACTGCTTTTTTTTTTTTTTTAAAGGAGATATTTACTTACTGCTGGTCTAACCCATGAAGAGATGCATATCAGTATTGACAAAGAATTATCCCACATGCAAATGTTATCTAAGTTTGTTCAAAACAGGTAAGTTCCAAAAGGCTTGGTCAATTTCTCTGGCAGTCTTCATCCCTAGGATGTGACTGGAACTTTATCCCATTCTGTTAAAGGGTGAATAAGTGGTAGTTGTGCCTATTTTCCCTTGCCTACCAAGGATAAGCACAAACCACACTTTGGATTCAGTATCTGAGTTAAATCCAGGTGGACCTACGGAAGTCCCAACTAATGTCTTGTGGTGAATGCATATCTGTAGAGAGAAATTACCAATGTGTGAATTTGTTCCTAAGAAAAAAAGAGAGGGAACTACTTGACATAAAAAATGATTTTGCTTTTTGACAATGAAAGTTCTGAATCTTTTATATTATTCAACCACTGAGCTGTTATTTGTTGAGCGAAATATTGTGGTTCTGAATTCATGAAATGACTAAAATGAGATTTCTTCAACATTTAACAGTGCAGGGAGATGAAGATGTAGCTGTAAGAATATAATTCTATTTCTCTGTGTGTGTGTTTGGATGAAAAAAAATGTGATAGTTTATCTCTTTTTAGCAGTATTCAGCATTTCATCATCTAGTATTTTGAACAGCATTTGTAAATAATTAAATGAAATTCAGATTCAGTGCCTGTAGAAATCTTTTAAAATGTATATATTTCCATGTTCATTTCTACAGGAAAATAGCATCTTTCAAGGTCCCTTTATGAAATATACACCATTGTAACAGCAAAGAGAAGTGGTCATAGGTTTGCAAAGGGAGATTGCCAGCCTGGGCAGAGTGCACAGCCCCCAGGCATGAAGCGCCACATGAAGGCAAAGAGTGTCCAGGTTACATATCCCCAAGAATTATTGCATTTGTAGCTAATAATTAGCTAGGGCATAGGATAAATGTAATGTAAAAGGTGACTTAAAAAAAAAAGCCTTAATATTATTTCTGCTTGACTTGTAGATTATAAATTGTATTTAAAATAACAGATTTAGACTTTATTCTGTGTACTGTTGTGAATTAATATGGTTATTCAGATATAAAATAAAAGGGTAGGTTTGTAGTCTTGCCTAATTGAACTAATGAACACAAGAGTTTGGCCAACAAACAAAGCATGAGTATGAAAGAATACTCATTCATTCCTTCATCCCTCCCCACCACACAATCATTTTTGCTCTATTTATTGTGTAATGTATTGATGTGCTTTATCTGCAGTCCTAAGAATAACTCATTAGACATTTGTCTTACCTGTAAGATATTCGTTATTTATTTATATATTTAATATATTTGTATATAACTTCCCATTATTATAAATCCTTATAAGAGCTTGAGAGCCAGTTTGGTGCAGTGGTTAAGGCATCTGGCTAGAAACTGGTGAGTTCTAGTTCTCCCTTAGGCATGAAGCCTAAATGACCCTGGGTGACCTTGGGCCAGTTGCTCTCTCTCAGCCCTAGGAAGGAGGCAATGGCAAACAACTTCTAAAATACAGCCAAGAAAACTGCAGGGAATTGTCCTGGCAGGAGTCAAGACTGACTTGAAGGGATCAAAAATAAAATAAGAGCTTGCTTCTGAACACAGATAGCTCCAAATGATAGTCAAGTATATTCACAGGCCCCCAGAACCTTCCCATCCTCCTTTCACTATGACATCTATCTGTCTGGAATTTTACATTAAAGTTTTAAGCAATATAATCATAATCTGAATTTTTATGCCCTGTTTCAGTGATAGCATCTCATGTAGATCTCAATATGCAAGGAATGGTGAGCAACTATTTCCCTCTGTAAGTCACACAGAGAATCACAGATAAAGAGCTGGTGATAAATATCTTTATTACAACAACCAAAATGTTCCAAAGTAGTAAGCATGCTTTTGAGTTCTCCAGAGTTCTCATAAAACGGAAGTTCAATGAAACATTGAATATGGGAGAAGGAAAAAAAATCCTGTTGTAATAACAGTATAGAGTATAAAAGGACTTATATGATTAGATATGAACAATAACTAACACTAATCAATAATGTAAAGTCAAGGGCACCCTTTGTGTACTTTTTTGATTGTACTATAAACCATCATATGAAAAGCACTCTTCTTTTCTGGTTAGAGTCCAGGAGAAACAGTAAAATTTACATGTCCACTTAATCCCATCCTGCACAAATTCAATCATTTCCCCACCACTATCACCATCCAGACAAAAAGAAATAAGAATTGTTGGGTTAATAGCAAAATAAAAAAACAAAAAAAACTCTATTATCCCACTATCTGTAACTAAATTCTTCCATAGGGAATAGAGGTGGACTTTCCAGGAATAGTGTCCTTAAGTCCACGATATTCAAGAACGGCTTGAAACCTTCTCATGTGAAAATCTCCTACTTCATTCAGGAGTTTTGATAAAAAGATAAATAAAGGTTAAATGTGAACCTACACAAACTATGTCTGTAAGAATATTACAGTAAGAAGTAAAGTAACTTCTTTAATTGGACTTGCTTTAATTGCAAGATCATCCTTCTCCTCATACAAGCACAATACAGACAGCTGGTTTTATCATTTTCTGCATGAATTTCTGAAAAACAAGGAGTCTATTGATTAACCAAATCTATTTTTTAAAATGTGTGATAATGTTTTTATTCCAATACTAACTTTTTATCTTTTTATAATGCCTGTTTTTATTCCCTTGTTATTTTAATTGTTGTACACTGCCCAGTCGCTTTGTGTGAGATAGGTGGCTATATAAATGTGACGTATAAATAAATAAATAAATGACCAGACTGAGTAGGTTAATAGTAGGCTTGTCAGACTGACATTATTGTTTTTTCTAGAATTTCAAGATCCATCAGCAGGAGCCAAGTGCAAGAGATTTACGCTTAGAATTAAGGAACAGAGTATCTCTCAGTGTATATCTTTAAAGGAATTGGTAAACGTTGCCTTTTACTCACTCTTGAGTGAATATGTAAGAATAAAGAATGGTCTGCCCAAACCCTTCTACCCTTCAGACTATGATCACTGGCTTGTAAAAGACCTCACTCCTCATGTGCACTTGACTCTTTCCAATACTGGAATAGCCTTGATCAGATTCAAATTATGAGCTGACCTGAGCATAAATATCATGCATGATTAAATCCTTTTATCTATAGCTAATGCTGAGTCACTTACTTATAACTCCAAGAAAGTTTTTTTACTGGATTTACTTGATAGGAATATAGTTCTATCTCCTCCCTCCCCCCACCCAATTTTGAGTGCTCATTTTACATTCATTGATAAGATTAAAATAAAGTTTGAAAACAAATATAACTCACTGGGTAGCAGTAATATTGATGCAATCCAGGAAGAGACTGAAACTAAACTGCAGGATATAGGAAATAAGAAACAAAGATCCAGACTGCCCTTCCTACTGCAGCTTGAGATGGCAAGGCTAACATTGCTTTGGGCTTTATTCACTTTCTTGGCTTTCAGCTTCTTTAATAGGGTCAGCCACAAGCTTGAACCTTGCTTTCTGTTGAGCTAAAGGAATGTCCTGGTTCTCAGCTCACTGCATTCTGGATATGGGCCCAAGGCTGATCAGTTCAGGGTGCATTTCAGGTCAAATCTTACTTTTAAATTCTGTACGATTAGGGCAGATGTAAGTCTCTTGAAAATGAATCAATGCATGTCAGGCTAATACTTCCATTTGAAGGCTCATACATCTGTTTTTAAGAACAGACAGTGGCAAGGTTATGAGTGCCATTCTCCCTCTGCTAGCCCTTCTCTGTGCCCTAGCTTCTGGTGCCAGCTAACTAAATAACATAGAGTATTGCCAGAAAACTATAACACCACCATACAAGGACAAATCACTTCCCATATTTTTAAGTCCTACCCAGAAGAAGCCAAGCTTTACCAATATGCCCTGTCCAGCCTGGCATCCCACTGAAACCAGTAATAAGGAGGGAGGGAATTTTCTTCCCAGGAAAATCCAAGCTTGTAAGCCAGCTTTGCCAATGACAGTGATCCAAACCAGCGAAGCACCTACCCCACAAGGTGATGGTCATTCTTAAGTGTCATGCAAAGCTTGATGCCCTGGAAAAAACAAATGAAAATGTATGGACATGCCTTTTTAAATAGTTTTTGATTATTTTTATTTATAAGGTGGCTTTATGCTTTGTTTCAGCACAACTGCTGCTGTATTGTATTTTTGGCATTACTTATTGCTTTGATTTATCAGAGGTTCAAGAGGAAAATTTAAAACAGTAAAACCTTTGAAATCTGGTAGGGGTAACATCCTTTAAAAAGTCTGCCACCTCTGCTGTTTTCACCCCATTCTGCCCTTCAAAATGAAGCACCTGCAGACATTTTGTTGCTTTCCAATGATAGCCTGTGGATTAATCAGTCTTCAGATCAGATCTTGGAGTGGCTTGAATGGTTTACTAGAATCTCAAGTGAAAAATTCAGATTAAATCAATGCCTCTTAAAATCTTGGATCTCCAATTTGAAGTGAATCAGGGCTGAACCACACAGGGTTGGTAAAAGTTGTTCAATTTTAAATTGTTAAAAGACCTGGAAAGGGAGCTACCATCTTCATTAATCAAAGTTAAACAGGCTGGGGCTGATGATATTGCAGGATATTCCAAGAAAATCTTACTGAGGTTCTGTTCATGAGATCCAGAAGCAATATTTGCACTAGCCACTCAAATAAATATTGTAGAAAAACATGAGTATTTATGCATATGTTTGGACTACAGATTCTTGAAATATGTTACTACAGACAATTAAACTTGCACAGTAACGCCTCTCAAAAGGCAGTATCTGATTACAGCACCATAACACTCAAGCTAGGATGATTGACAATGTAAGGGAAGTATGTAGGATGTTTTCAGTGTAACATTATCTAGGAGTTTGATATAACTGGCTTAGAGGAATGAATGTTAGCTAGTAGACCAGAAAGGCTCAAAGGATAGAAGGAAATAACTTCTCAAGTGAACTTGTTTAGGGATTTGGAAATAAGGCTGATACTTTGGAACAATCTTCTTGCAAAGCTGGTAGGAAGCTTCGAGTCATGAAATAATTCTTGAGAATATGAGAGTTGTTTGATTTGAACAGAAGACCTGGTAACAGTAGAGATCCTTTGGAAGAAGGAAATATAGAGAAAAATAAATGCATGGAAGAATCCCAATAGGAAACGTATCTGGGAAGACTCATCTGTATTGATGGCAACTCTTGGAAACAGAAATTCACTTAAAGTGGGAAAAGTTAATAACATAATCAAATCAAATTAGCTTTGAACTGCAGATAGAAAACATGGTTTCTAACATGTTCAAACCAAATCCAAGATCTATTGTTTCAAGCAGATTCTGAGCTAGGAAATTGTATCAACAAAATTCAGTCATAATTTCAGCAGCACTTTTTAAATTAAAATAATCCCTTAGTGGCATCGTAGGGTCAAACCCATCCCTTCCACTGACAACCCATGTGAATCTCTGTCACAAGATGGTCTTCTGCAGTCCTATGGAAGATTGAGAAGCTAATTCAGATATTACCACTATTGTTTTAGAACAATATGTTCAGATAGTAGTGTATTTATCCAAATGTTAGTGCAGTGCAAGTCTTTCAGACAATGCTTTGCTTCCATGAAAATCAAGGCAAAATGCCCTCTCAAGGCTGCTTCACAAGCAATGAGGTACCTTCACTTCAGAAGTGATATAGAACTTTGTACTGTTCTTAGGCCTCTTCTGAAGCCTCTTCCTGTACTTGCAATAGCTGGAAGGAGCATCTGCTTATTTATTTATTTATTTATTTATTTATTTATTTAATTTGTCCCCCACCCATCTCCCCCCAGTGGGG